TGTGCTACCCGTATTTAATCCCAGGTTGTACTTTCGTCCGGGGGTCAGAGCTGAGGGCCAAAACAACAAGACCTTCCAAATCCTCTGAAAGTAGGCAGCCACGCTGAATGGGCGGTCGAAATTGCGAATGTCTCTCCAAGAGGACACAGGAAGAACAGTGAGTTCCCAACCCTGGTTTGTGGTTGAAATTGACTGGCAACTTTGACAAACCGATGACTATTCCCGACACCAGGCATTGGGGAAGACACCCTATATGAATCCGTCGAACGTCTCCTTTGCAGCCTCAGCGGGGTATCCAGACTACCCTCAAAACTTGCAAGCTGGTACCTGAATTTTCCCAAAAGAAAACCTACCAGGTGACGCACGCTGGCGGCGCGGGACCCATTCGCGTTGCGATTCCTCACTAAAGCCGCAGCCCTTCTGCTGGGTTCCCTGTGGTTCGCCCCTCGGGATTCCACCCCCAGGGCCGTGTGGTGTCAGCCAAGGGGCACCAGCAAGAACTCCGAACACCAGAACACGAAGAGTGGCATTGCTACCCTCCGCTGGATCTTCTTGTACAACTCCCAGCTCTTGGCGTACTTCACCTATGTCTTCCGCGGACGCGCTGGGTAGGCTTGGAAGAATCAACTACATCATAAGATTGAGACATCATTTAAGTGGGGATTTATATTCACCCTTGAGAGCTTCCCCATTAAAAAATGTTTGGCTCTAGTGAGGGCGGGTGAGGGGGGGGGGGCATATCTTTTGCGGGTGACTGGGTGCTCATTTGGGAGTCTGACACCAAGCCCTTTCAAAACAAAATTCCCCGTTTGGCCTGGAACCGGAACAAGTCGTGCTCGGTGACCCCCATGCCCGCGCCAGTTGCCAGCACGGAGTCCAGGCCCTCCTGGCAAGCTGCTGCGATAGGTAGGAAATGACCGAGCCCGGGTGTTGAGAATGAACCTGGGGATTTGCTTAAAGGAAAAAACAAGGGATGGTTTATGGGGGTCGATCCCTCATTCGCTGCTGAGAGCCAGCAAAGTGCAAAACACGGCGATGGTTGTGTTGGCGTCCCTTTGAACCAACCAAAGAAGGAGCACCTCAAAAACAGACACACCCATGTGCTGAGGTGAAAGGTAGCCTTCGGTTGGTTTGGTTGATGGACACCGAAAGGACCGAAATCCATCTTCCTCCACTCCATGGTAGATTTCGGATGAAAGGGTTTCAACTGTTCAGTTATCGTGGGTTTGCGGCTTAGGACCTCAATGTGACTTTTCGTTCCCTGGAGAATAATAATCATTAGCATATCCACTGATAGATTCCTTTCAAGGCCAGGATTTCTCTAAACAAGCAACAAACACATATTCTTGAGCAAATTCTAAAAAAAGCAACTGAAAGGGGATGCTTGGGTCTGGGAGTTCGTGGTCAAGTGCTGTTTTGTGGCGGAGGTTCGGGCAGAAAGAATCAGTTCCGAGCTTCATGTGTTCAAGGAAGTGATCCTAGGAAACAGTTCAGTTTGCTTCAAAATGCTTTCTTCTGTGGACGCCTTTATCGCCCAAGAATCAGTTGGGGCACTTAAACATCCAAGTGCTTAAGTCCCCGGGAGAAAACATCGATGTTTTCAGTAGTCCTAAATTCGCTTTGAAACTAACAGGGGGAAAACAAATATGTTCCAGTTTAAAAGGGGGGCCCTAGTGCCATTTGATTCGTTGAGCTACCAGGGTGGGGCCAACCCTTGGTGAAAAACATGCTTCAACCTCTTGTGTTAACACTCTCATGCTGGTGTCCCCAACGATACCAGGGTAGGGTGGTTGCAAATGACATCAAACCATGGCGTGGTTAAACAGCCCTTGATTGGACCATCCTCATGACTACTTTGTCACTTGGCCGTGTCTGTTTTTCTTCAAGGAAACCGAAGCCCGTGTTGGGGGTTCCGAACCCACTTAGCGACAAACCCACAGGAAGTTGCCAAAGAAACAGTGGGACTTTGCCTGAAACCCCTAGGGTCATGGACAGCAATTTCCCGCCATACTCATTCCATCCATGCCAGCCCCCTCCCCCAGAGTAACCATCCTAAAAGAGGACCTGGAAATACAAGGGTAACCTTTCGGGACCTTGGCCACGGACAAAATCAGGGAAACCAACAGGTTAAAAGGTCGATTCGCTCCAACCATGCCCCCCCCTTCCAATCCGAACACACCATCCTAAAAACATGCCCCCGTGCCATCCTAAACTAAAAGCATCTCACCCTAAAATGCAAACAGTCCATCCTAAATTATTTAAACAGCGCGTCCTAAAGTTCCAAAAACACCATTCTAGAATTGTAAAACAAAAAACAAAATCCTAAAGGCTAACCCAACAGCATCATAAAAGTCTACTAACACAGATCTTAACATTCAACAACAAAACTGTCTCAAAGTTCTAAAAACACCATCTTGAAACTTAAAACAACAACATCGTTAAGTTTCAAAGTGGCTTGTGTTGTTTCTGAAAGAACAACAATACACATCCTTAAATTCTAAATAATGACATACAATTAAACAACAACATACCATGATTCTAAGCACATCATCCCGCAATTCAAAACAACACGTAACACTATGATAGAACGCTTGAAGCAACAGCCAATAATTCTGAAACCACCCTGCTGAAACCGGACGCTCTGACGCCTTGTGGATCTCCCCGTTCAGCTCGTTGAAGGCCGTGAGCAGCGCCATGTAGCACAGCTCCTAAACTCGCTCGACGGGTCGACGGATGGGTTGGCGGCAAAAGATCCGAGGAAAACGACGTGGGAGCTGACCCTTTTGTGGGAAAGTGGTGAAAAACAATACCCTCCAGTCCACTAATCCGAAGTTTAACTTTTAGTGGGTTGAATGGAAACTCTCACACGCCAAAAAACCTGAAAGCCTAAGGGCATGGCTGGGAACCGCCAAGTGATATCGAATCCACCAAAAGATCTCTTTCTGAGAAAACATGATTTCCAGGATGCCCGAGTAGGTTGCATGTTGGTGAACCGAAGAGTAGTTTGGAAGCCGTTCTTGCGGGAAAGAGGTACAGTAAAGAAAGAGTTGGGGGTTCGCAGTTTTGTTCGGGAAACTGTTGTTCGCCCCTCGTAACGAAGGGATTTGAAGAGCGAAAAGCTTGAAACCCTGCAAAAAGGGGGGGGGGGTTAAACAATACAACGAACCACATGTTCTGCTGGAAAGCTCGATTCGCCCAGAGATGGAGATCATGCCGTTACACCCCTTTTGTTGGCATATCAGCTGGGGCAAAACTCCCATGAGGGCCAGGTTCGGCCAAGTCCCAATTATACTGGTTGATTCAAATAACTCGCACAGACAAGGCAGCCAAGAAAACTACTTAGGTCATCAAAGGTCATGGTGTAGACTGAATCAACCCTTTTTATTCAGGGCATTCTTTTGAGGTGAGCCAGAGCCCTGTTCCAGTGGCTGGTTTTTTGGTTGCACGGATCGTGCATGAGGTTTGGATTCCGATCATCAACTTTACCACAATAATATATATATATATATATACACATACATATATATATATACACATATACATATACATATATATATATGCATTCATTTCGCAAACGGGCCTGCAGGATGAACATGATCATCAGCGCTGAGAAGAAGCTCCCAAAAAAGACCGGCAAGATCAGGATCCACGTGAGGCCGTGCGCGATGCCTCCAGAGCGAAGACTTCTTTCAGCTTCAGCTCATGGGATTTCCAAAATCGCTCCCCCCGTGGCAGGGGCACTACTCAGAGGTTATATATTTGCAGTCTCAACCCCTCAAAAACAATACCCTAAACAAACAAGCTGCCAAGTCAAAGTGTTCACCATAGCCCCGCCTCTTTCAAACCAGGCGCCCATGTTAAAAACACAAAAAAAATGAATAGAAACGCAGAGGCCACCATGTCGGAATACTAGCTTTGCCCTGCGGCCATAATCAGACGCTGTCAGTGGCTGGCTTTGATGTGGTGCCTGCGGTAGGACAATTCCTCGGAAATTAGCCGGCCTCCCAGAACAAAAGCAAACGGGATTTGAAAGCCGGGATGCAACCACCAGAACCGAAATCCAGGCCATGAAACATCGATCTTCCCCAACGCAAGATCGATAAGACCTCAAGATCAACATCCCCGTGAGCATCGTCCGTTGCAACTGTGCCTCTTCTCGACTTAGACCCAAAGGCAACAAGTGAAGCAGGTCAGCTCAGTCTGGCGATGTCTAAGCATGAGCCCATCAGGAGCACGAGGGGAAGCACTCTGACTCTAGTGCCAAGAAACGGAAACTCGGCTAAAAGTTGCTCAAAAGGTGATGTTTTCAGCAGGCTGAAAAGGTACATATAGTCCAATCGCAGGGGGTTGCGTGGTTTGGTTATTGTTTTGAGGTTCGGAGCAATCCGATCTTCAGCGGGTTCCTTACTCGCCTGTCTCGGTTACGTAAGTGAATCCACCGCAGCGTTGACAGTTGCGGTCTGGGGGTTGCTGTTGAATAAGTGGCTGCATGTCAAGACTAGGGCCGGTGTGGGGAGGCAAAAAGACATGACACGCAAAGTGGCATTCCCATCTTGGATGTTCAACCAACTTACTAAGTAGGACATAACCATGGTTATAAGAGACTAACCCTAGTTTCCCAACTGGTAACCATGGTGATAACCTACTTACTTATTTGGCTGAACATCCACGATTCCCATGACACTCCCTTGGAGTCACCAAACATGGGGTCATTACTCAAAAGAATCGGCTCATGACCTAGCTAGGACCTGACCTGAGTTCTCAAGCAGTCAAGGTGATGCACACTCACACACACAGACACTGAGAGCATTGGCTGAGGCGCCGTAGACGATCAAGCCATTGCCGCTTTCCAGGTAGTAGGGATGGAAAAAGCCCGGGAGATAGCCTTGGCGGAGGAAAAGCCTTCCCAGCAAATGGCATGTGCGAAATTCCTGGTCGGCCTTGAACTGCTGGGGCTCCGAATGCCTTTTTGGGAAAGAACTTTGGGTGCCAGTCTACCTGATCAGACAAAAAGTGTTCGGGAAATTCGGTCTTTGGACGTTGCTGTTTGAACGGATTGGTGAAGCACTCGCCATGTGCCGGATCCATGCTCCAAATCACACCGCTTAGCTAGCAAACCCTGGCCCCAACGATTCTGACTTGAAGGAATCAGCTTTTCGCTGATTCCAAAGTGACAGTCCAAAATATCGGGGTCTGGATCTTCCCCAGCGTTAGGAAGCTTCATGGGCCCATGAGGGGTTCCCCACTCTGAAACAAAAAGCAAAAGGAGCATGGATTTCCTATGGTAATTTGTATCGGCATTGGGATTACCTTTTTCCGAGTTGCATATCCAGCTTCATTTCCCCTCGCGATTGTTTCTCCTCCATGGTCAGGGGACCAGCGGCCGGGAAAGTTCGGTCAGCGACCGCTGAGCTTTCTACTTCACCTTCAGAGCCATGGCCAGGGGCCGCAGCCAAGTGACGCTTGGCGACGAGTGAAGGGCCGAAGACGGCACGGCATGAAGGAAACCGCCCCAAACATGGGTACGTGTCTACCTTTTTGGGACCCCCCCAGCCCACCCCCCCGGGCCCCCCCCAAGAAAAAATGGGAGAGGGGGCAGAGGGGGGGACGGGTCCCTGATTGGGACCCGATCGAATCGCCAGGGCGCCTGCCCAGCCCCAGAGGGACAGAGTCGCGGTGAGCAGTGCCACCAGCGCCGTCAAGATCTTGGTCTTGAAGCGGAGCTTTTGGCCCTCGCCGAACGCCACACGGATCCGAACAGGCGATCCTTTGGGCGAGAGGAGCACCAAGGCATCTACACAAACAACTACCTTTGAATCCCCAAGAAAGCCAGTGCTGAAAAGAATCTGCTTGTCAACCCTGGTGCTACGACGCATGTTGGAATGTTGAACAAAATTGGTTGCTTTGGGTTTCCCTTCCAAAGCATCCGCGGGTTTCAAAGGGGTCCATCCAAAACACAAACCTACGATTTGGCTGGTATTCCGATTGCGACACCAATTCGCCAAACAAGTTTTGAGTCATACACAGGTCTTACACGCCAAATACCATGGTCATGTGATGCAAGCCGGAAACAACTTTTTGTGGAAGAACACTATTTTGACACATATCCAAATGCTAAGGTAGCTATCGGTCTCTCCTGAGTGCTTTGGGTATTCTCCCAATGAGTTGTAGTGCAAATCTCGAACAGGTTGGTTTGCCCTTCCCAAACACGCCTGGGAAAAAGGACACCCCTTCTTGGTTTGATTTTGATTGGAAACCCACCTGAAAAAGATGTCACATAGATTGGCTTGGTCCACCCACAAGAAGCCTAACGTAAAAGAACGCAACACAAATACCTGCACAGAAGGTCCTTTTGAAGTTGTGTCTGTTTTGCTTATGCTTATTTGCCTAGATTTTCTTTGAATGATATGTCCCCTTTGAGTAGCTTTTTACGAGGACAATGGTCTTCCAGAGCCCCTTCATCAGGTTCCAACGGATCGGGCTTCCTCGCTGGCGCAGTCGATGTGGTTATCCAGCAGGTCAGCAATGAGGTCAGACCGCAACAGAACAAGCATCACCTCGCAGATGCGCATGAGCACCAGACCATCGCATCTCGTCCCAAAAGGACGTGGGAGGATTGGACATTGTGCAGGCCCACTGCTTTTGGCGGGGAAACTGGGTTGTACCCCGCCTGGTCCTCCACCAGACTACTAAACAATTGTCAGTGCCTCACATGTGCGCTTATGGATTGCAGAGGGGTGGGCAAAAGCAACCCCAAAAAATTGTTGGGTCCAATTGGGTTGTCCTGGTGGCTTCCTTTTGGCCCGGCACCAGGCAAAGCGTCAACTGCAAGTTGTATCTTTTAAGACGCACGGGAACAGCGCGAAACTTGGCCGCGCACATGCAGGAGCAGAAAGATCATGGGATGCGCTGCCACGATCTGCACGATGGTCTCGTAGTCATAGAAGCCAGGGCCTGGCGGCTTTCAACTCCAGGCTTTAGAGCTGCTGGGTTCCGGAAAACCAACAGGACACCAACCGTGTGAAAGGCCAACGCTGGCAAAAACGTACGGCCCTCCAAAAACAATGGAACCAGTGCCAAGCAGAAAATTCAGCTTCCCTACACTTGGTGGTTTGGATTGGTGGTTTGGTTTTAGGTGTGATTTCCCATCTAACCTCTACAAGAACCAGAATCCAAAAAACAAAACAGGCACATGAAAACCTCCAGTTGCTTCGCGATCCGTCCAACCCAATTTCAGAGAGTTGAAGAGGGTGGCTTTGTTAGGCTCTCAAAACAATGGCCTAAAAAAAGGTTGACAACACATCTACACAGTGATCTACAAAGCATGGCCAAAAGTGGCCTACAAAAGTCAAGATTGATAATCATGGTCTAAACACAATGACCACTTGAACAACTTAGGCAGTTTTCAAAACAACACAACAAAACGCTTGGGAGGAGACCCCCGGCTCCCTATACATGGCTTCCTTTTCTTAACCGAAAGCGCGGTGCATGCTTCCGACTCGTCACAGCTCGCAGGCAGAACCACCGGTTTATCGTGAAGAGAGGGCCTTACTTGGATGTTCAACGTGAGGTAAGTAGGTTATAACCATGGTTGTAGCTTCGGTAGCTGGGGTCAGTCCCCTTACCATGGGTCAGTCCCCTTACCATGGTCATAACCTACTTCCCAAGTTGGTTGAGCATCCAAGTAGAAGGGCTGCCACGTTCCGGAACGAACATTCAGGGTCATTTCCATCGAAAAGGGTGGTGAGCCCGTTGGTTTGGACGTGTTCCAGGGTGGGACATCCCACTGGCGCACAAGAACCAGGGCTTCAAATCCAACTCCAAACGAATCGAGACCAGCAATTGAGGGTTAACTGAGTGATAGGCCTGAATCATTGGAGCGGGGCAGGTGGGGTACTTCAAAACCACCCGGCTGCGCGTGTTTTGTAGGGGACTCCCCAAATTGGTAGTTGTCCTTTTGGTTCCCTTTAAATCACCCTGAAACAAGGTATATACCCTCGAAGAAAGACACGCCCATTTAGTCATGGTTGTAGGGGTAAGGTACTAGCATGTGTTCACCTTACACTACACCAGCAAACATCTTCCTGATTCTGCTTCATGCATGCGTCAACCGTCAAAATGCAAAATAATGAGGAGGAGAACCCAGGCGCTGCCATTGCAGCTTCCCATATGAATCAAGCACCATGTCGAAATACGGAAGTGTCTCTTTCTTGTCAAGTTTAGGGGAACCGCCGGTTGGTTTGAGAGGGAAACCAAGAGGAAGCCAACCGTCGTGGGTCCCCTCATTTTGAGACAAACCTTGAATTTTTCGAACCTGTGCGAATGGGTTGGCTGAGTCCAACCACTTCTAAAACAACCCCCCGGAACCTTCGGGGGTGAAGATGCGGCTGCAGCACATCATGCCGCAGGTGAGGAGAATGATCCGCACCGCCACCGCCCAGCAGCGCGTGCGCGGTCCAGCCTCTGGCAAACAAATGGAAAAGAGGCACAACCGGACCTGGAGTCCCTTGAAACATGAGTCATTGCCCAAAAGAAAGGGGACATGACCCCATTTTTGAAGCATGGAGACTCCAGGTAAAGGCAAATCGGTCAAACACCAGCCATTGTATTGAGAAAACGGAAATCTGGCCTGGTCTAAAACTAGCCAATTGTTTCTTGCTTGTTCCGGTGCCGGCAGTTTTCGTAAGAGGACTTGTTGGTCTTCTGTTTTTGGGTTGGTTTTTTGGGGGGGGCTCTCCCGTGGATAGTTTGGTATAAGAAGGATTTCAGAAAATGGGAAAGTCACCCCAGGAAATCTCTGAAGCTAAGGAAGTGTTTCAGTCCCTATGGCAGGAACCTCCAACGATCTATTGAAGGAATCATTTGAAGTGTCGCAGTTTCAGGATTTCTGACACGTCCAGGGCGAAGCTGCAAAAACTCCACACTCGTCATTTACCGTAACTTGAAATCATGTGATTTTTAATAAAAAGGTCCAATGTCCAAAAGCTCGGCACTCTAAAAGGTCGATGTGTGCATTGCAACATACTGGTGTTTTGCTTTTTGTTTTTCTCTTTTGAACAAAGCGAGGAGAGACAGTCTCTAGGACCAAACAGTTTGAGCAGCACAGGCGAGAAACCGCGTCCAACTCGTCCTTGGACGTTCAACCCGATTAGCAAGTAGATCAGGGCACCAGCTCCAGTTGCCCCAGCCCAGTGGATCTTAGGCGTTGCACCATTCTAATTACCCTTCAAACATGTTTCTTGCCTTTAAAGGGTTCCCGTTGGATACCTACAAAGCAATGGAAACGGAATCACTGGGCTACCTGCTGGCTGGTGATTGGACACCTCTGTGGGATCCGTTTGCAATCCGTTGCTGCGTAAGTTGTCGTCCATGTCCTGCTGTGCGATCCGTCCCTTCAGTCCCTTCAAACCAGACAGTTACTGGCTCTGTATCTTTTGGAGGGTATCCTTTTCGGGGCTCAGGAAGCCGAAGCGCATTTTGGGGCTTCAAAATCCTATTTTAAGACATGACATGGCTTGAACCTCCACGGTTAGACTCTACCTTTGGAGTTCGAGTTCAAAGTTCAAGTTCGACAGAAGAGCTGGCTTCGACCTTCATATTGTTACAACATGTCAATTTAGTGCACTGTCTACATCAGGACATACAAATATCTCGTAATATGTTATTACATGCTAATGTCACGTCCTCTCGTCTGTACAAAGACGAGGCGCTCCCGGCAGCGCCACCCCGCACATCGCGGTGAAGATCACGAAGGAGCGGTCAAAGACCTCTGCACCCTCAGCATCCTCCCCACTGCTCTTGCCATACCTCAGCCGCCGTCGTGCCATAGGAACCCCCATCAATCCCAGAAGAGGTGTCTAAAGTTTATGTGTTTTTGTTGAGTGATACGAGTTCATATAATTTCATCTGAGTTTATATGAGTTCATATTGAGCGCTTCTGTATATATATATATACGTATGTATATATATATATATATATAATATATATGAGTCTGTATGATATTCCATAAGTTCATGTATTCATCAACTCGTACAGGGAATTTGTCCCCAAGTCCAACGGTCGGACTTCAACCAGCCCCGATTGTCGGTTCCCAAGTTTTGGACATAGTCCCTAAAACTCTACCAGTGGTAACAGCTGAGAAGGTGATTCGCGTTCGCAACGTCAAGTCGTGAGTCGAGCGGAACCACAGGCCAGAGAACCCCATGTGGAAATTATGTGGAACGCCCATGCAAAACCTCATGAGTTTTCAGGTTGCTACCGGACGATTTTCAAAGGGAAAATGGGGTTGGTTCTTGAAGTTAAACACCAGGATGCAGAATGTGCTTGCCTGGGTCCATAACGGCATTCTGCATATTGGCCTCTAAATGGTGGCAAGAACCCAACCGTAAGTCTGATACATATCTTACTGGTGGGGAGTTCCTTGGCATTGATCGCAAACGGGACAGTTCAAAACAAAGGCAAAACCATGGCTTCCCCAAACTCGCATTTGGGAACTGGGAGCTTTCCCCGGCCTCCAGTCGCAGGTCCCCCCTGGATTCTCATTCCTTCCCAGCGGCCATGTTGATTTTTTCTAGTGGCCTGAATGGCAGAAACAGAAGTCACAGCTCCCGGAACCAGGGATTCCCATTCCGGCCAAACGTTTGAACTCAGCCTGATCCGAGTAGAACAAGAGTTGGACATTGGTCGATTCCATGTTCGACGGCTTCCAGCCACCATGCAGACTAAGCTCCACAGAACACCATCCTTGGTAGGGATTGAAGCTCCTAAGGCACCCAAACACCTCTTCGTCAAGGGCATGTCCCAGCAATGGTGTTAGATATACTACAACATAAGCTTGTAAGGCGATATATACCCCTTATACAACTGGTTCCGCTTTCCTACCTCCAAATTCCATGTCCCTAACGCCGGTCTTTCATCTGGCAGAATTCATATTGTGTTTGGGTTCAGTGTATCGTTTATCTTTATGGTATTAACTATCAATCGAAAATAGCCTTATCCTTCTTCACCTGTTCCATTCATCCGCAGTTTGTCGAGGAATGATCAATGTTTATTATTCTGGTCATCTCGGTGCCCTTGGTTTTAAGTCCCTGCCAACCGGAGCACGCAACACAGGGTGAAATTATGTGAAAACATGTTTGCGGCATCAGTCACAGAATCAAACAGATCATCGGGAGGTTCATGCATCAATGTCACCATACTTGCGCCATCCAAAAACGCAAAGACCCCTGGTTATCATGGTTTGTAGGTGCATTGCGACTTAAACATGAAACCAGCTGGAACGACACAATGGGACCCCCGGACTTATACAGCCCTGATTCGTAGGCGGTGTCCCCTGTTAGTAGGAATGCTTCACTTTTGGAGGCAACACCCCTCCACCACACCGAATTGGAATAATGAGACAGGCAAGTGAGTATTTTGGAAAGACAAACATGAAAGTGGAAAGGGAGAGAGAGAGAGAGACAGAGAGAGAGAGAGAGAGCGAGAGAGAGAGAGAGAGCAAAAAAAGAGAGAGAGAGGAGAAAGAAAGAAAGAAAGAAAGAAAGAAAGAAAGAAAGAAAGAAAGAAAGAAAGAAAGAAAGAAAGAAAGAAAGAGAGAAGAGAAGGAGAGAAGGAGAGAAGGAGAGAAGGAGAGAAGGAGAGAAGGAGAGAAGGAGAGAAGGAGAGAAGGAGAGAAGGAGAGAAGGAGAGAAGGAGAGAAGGAGAGAAGGAGAGAAGGAGAGAAGGAGAGAAGGAGAGAAGGAGAGAAGGAGAGAAGGAGAGAAGGAGAGAAGGAGAGAAGGAGAGAAGGAGAGAAGGAGAGAAGGAGAGAAGGAGAGAAGGAGAGAAGGAGAGAAGGAGAGAAGGAGAGAGAGGAGAGAGAGAGAGGAGAGAGAGAGGAGAGGAGAGAAAGAGAGAAAGAGAGAAGGAGAGAAGGAGAGAAGGAGAGAAGGAGAGAAGGAGAGAAGGAGAGAAGGAGAGAAGGAGAGAAGGAGAGAAGGAGAGAAGGAGAGAAGGAGAGAAGGAGAGAAGGAGAGAAGGAGAGAAGGAGAGAAGGAGAGAAGGAGAGAAGGAGAAAGAGAGAGGAGAGAAGGAGAGAAGGAGAGAAGGAGAGAAGGAGAGAAGGAGAGAGAAGGAGAGAAGGAGAGAAGGAGAGAAGGAGAGAAGGAGAGAAGGAGAGAAGGAGAGAAGGAGAGAAGGAGAGAAGGAGAGAAGGAGAGAAGGAGAGAAGGAGAGGGAGAGAAGGAGAGAAGGAGAGAAGGAGAGAAGGAGAGAAGGAGAGAAGGAGAGAAGGAGAGAAGGAGAGAAGGAGAGAAGGAGAGAAGGAGAGACGGAGAGAGAGAGAGAAGGAGAGAGAGAGAGAGAGAGAGAGAGAAGGAGAGAAGGAGAGAAGGAGAGAAGGAGAGAAGGAGAGAAGGAGAGAAGGAGAGAAGGAGAGAAGAGAGAAGAAGGAGAGAGAGAGAGAGAGAGAGAAGGAGAGAGAGAGAGAAGGAGAGAGAGAGAGAAGGAGAGAGAGAGAGAA